TTCGGTCGGAATTCATCGATAACACTGACGGGCTTGGTGTAGCTCAGCTCAGTCTTGTAATCGTGGGGGAGGCCAAAGACCTTGGGCCCGGCAATCTCGAGGGCACGCTCGGTTGCCCAAAGAGGATGGCCCGCCATGATCATGACGGCCACCTTTAGGCCGTATCTGTATTCCTGGACACCAATGGCTTCGCCAGTCGAGGTGTCAAGGAGGAAGATCAAGTCGGGAACAGTCGCGATGACCTTTTCAAAACAGTTAGCATCATTGCCAGGAAAGGTGTCAACGGTAATCAGGCTTACCTTCTCCGTGCCATCCTCAAGTTTGCCCAAAACGCCGAGGTTCTCATTCATGAACGGAACCACAACTTCCTTCAAGCCCTCGCCAATTCTATCCGTATCCGTTTCCATCTCACTTTCACTCAGCCTCTCAACGGTTACCTTGCCCAGACTGTGTGCCGTCGTTGTCAGGGTGCTTTCGACGCCACGGATCTTGCCTTGGAAGAGCACCTTGGCGCTACCAGGACCACCGGCAGCCTCGATCAAGTCCTTTGTAACCGTTGAGACAGTGCCAGCCTGCTGCGCCAAAGCGACTACACGTCCCAGACGCCATGCGAGTGAGTAAGTGTTGGGGATGCCGACCTCGCGCATCAGCTTTCCGGGGATGGGACGGCCGGCTGCGCCGGCGGCTGAGCCCATAGCCACACATGCATCACGAATAGCTATTCCTGCTGAAGTCTCATCGGTTTGTGTCGCGGGGATGACAACGTTGTGACCGGTTCCACTGCAGAGAGTTACAGGGAGAAGCTCGTTGACGGACTTGGCGTGGATGTATTGGGAGACCATCTCAAACTGGGGGTAAGCTCGGCCTGTGGAAATAGTGTTAGCAGTATGAACAGTGTGTTGGAGTCCATTAGTCTAGGAAACCTACCCATCATGTCGCCGTCAACCGTGGGGATATCGTAGTACCGTGAGCTTCCCCAAATAAGGGTAGCAACACCGTTCGCCCCACCGATCTCGGTGGCAATCAGTCTCTCAAACTTCGTCTTCATCTCCTTCTCCATCTCCTGCATGGCGTGCCATACGCCGTGTCCTCCGGGACGTTCAATACTAACTGCCGGTGTACCGACACTAGCAACGGGTGGCATCATCTCCTCGTCCTTCAAGTCCTCGATGCGAATGATCTTCATTGTCTCTCCTTCTGTGAGGAGCTGTCTCAATTGGAGGTAAGGGGCGTATGGCGACCCGCCGCCACCGCAACCAAGGATGTAGCAGCCGATGGACAAGAACCTCAGGTCAGTCTCTGAGAGAGTCCAGAGACCGCTCGACTCGATCTGTGGGCGGTAGGTCTTAAGGTCGACGGTATCATCCTCGTCGGCATCACCAGCGTCTGTTGATTCATGGTTCTTGGTCTCCTCGAACATCTCCTCGTCAACAAGTTGGTCAGGGGCAGCCGTCTTGGTCATCTCCGAGTAGACCCGCTGATGGTCCGCAGGCAGCGCAACCTCGATCTTTATGGAGGTCTGGTTCTCCACATATGGCACGCCAGCGACTTCTTCGTGGAGGACTGTAACAGAGCTGGAATCACCTCCCTTGGCGACAGCGTTTTCAATAGCTCTGGCTTTGACCTCCGCAATGCCGCCCTGGATATCTGAGCCGTAGACAATCGTCTCAGCTGAGCCGTAGATCTTGGCGATTGCGGCACCGATGGCATTAGCAACGCCAGCATGCTCTGGCAGCACCACTTTGCTCACACCGGTGAGCTCTGGCGGGCAAAGAACGGAGCCACCTCCGACCAAGATGACGGTGCACGGCTCGGGAGAGAGTTTGGCGCGATCGATGACAGATTCCAGCATCTTTCTGACTCGTGCCTTGCCTTTCTCAATAGTGTCGGTCGACAAGGCAACGGAGGTATTGCCAATCTTTGCACCCGATGCAACAGCAATATCTGTCGCCGTGGCCACCTCGCCTCCGAAGCAGAGCGCCTTAGTAACGAGGTCATGGCCGACGCTGTCGGGTCCAACAGCAACAGACCCATCATCACCAACATGGAGGATGGAACCTCCGCCCAAGCCGATACTCTCGACTGAAGGCATCTCGAGGTTGACCTTGACGCCAGCCAGAGCTGTGTAGCTCTTGGACAGACGAGGGTATCCGTTCTTCAACAGATAGCCTACATCAGAAGTCGTGCCACCAATATCAACGACGATACTGCCAGATTGATCGATCGCGTCTGATGCAAGGAATGCAGCGCCCCGGATGGAGTTGGTGGCACCCGATGAGAAGATCTTGATGGGAGCCTGCATGGCTTCGGAAAACGGCAGAAGATGGCCAGAGTTGGAAGTCAAGTACAACGGGCACTGGAGACCGATTCTACGCATGGCGCCGATGAAAGCTCTGATCGTCCGTTGGGCAAAGTTGAGAATCGAGGCATTCAGAATCGTGGCGTTCTCGCGGGCGAGGAGACCCGGACCTGCGATGTTGTGAGACAGGACAATGTTGACATCTTCTCCAAGCTCATTGCGAAGGATCTTAGAGACCTCTTCTTCTTGGTGGTAGTCTTTGTCGGTAGAGCAACCGATCCCAACAATGGCCACGTTCTTCAGCCCTTTGGACTTGATGATGGCCGCTTGCTCGCGGATCGCTGCCTCATCGATGGGTCCGATGAGTGTGCCGTCGATATTGCATCCGCCAGGGATGATCGCAGAGTGTCCATTGATGATACGCTTCAGAGCTTTGGGCCAGTCTGCGAAGGGCGGTGTTCCTGTGGAAAAGTTGTGAGAGGCCAAGCGAAGGACTGCAATCTTCTCGACCCGCGACGTGTCTCTCTCAATGATTGCGTTCAAGAAATGCGTCGTGCCGATGGCAAGAGCAGTGATGCTCGCCGGGTTGATGGTTGACGTGTCCAGCAGAGCTTTCAGAGTTGCCTGAACAGAGAGCGTCACGTTGGAGGTGGTCGGGGCTTTGTGAGACGCAACCACGGCGTCCGCACTGGTCTTGGAGACATTGAGCAAGACGCTGTCCGTGTTAGTACCTGGAAGATACGGTCAGTTTTCGGACGCAGAGGAGCCGACGTAAGTGACACGGTCCGGGGGCCCTGTCGGTCGCTCACCTCCGACGTCTACTCCCACCACCAACGTCCCATCCGTCGAGGCCATTTTGACCAGACTTTTCGTGCGACGGGCGCTGAAAATTGTCGCTATGGCCGTTACGCTGCGGAAAATCGGCTGCTTTAAGATTCCAAAGCACGCCACGTTTGACGTGATTGAGGGGATCGCAGGCAAAAGGGCTGTTTCGTCGTCAGGAGCGGCTCTCGGTGATGACCTCCGTGTACGTTGAAGGTAGTTGACGCGGGCAGATTCAGCCGGGAGGTGGGGTTCAAGTAACGGAGTCCAACTCCGTTCATCGGCGACCGTATGCGACCCTATCTGGGTTGGGCGCACTAAAAGCGAGTGACCCTCTCGCTAATGCACCCGCAACCACTTTTGCCAGGGCTACGCGTATGGGGAAGGTGGATGATATGCAGACGGTTTGGGCGTCTCGGAGTTAAAACTTCATCCCCATCTTCGCCTCTATTGGTCTCATGTTGGAAGACTTCTTATGATTGATGTAAAGTTATATCTCGGCACCCTCCTTCAGGATTTGCATCTTGCTAGCTCAGTTTCAGGTGCCTGACTGACTGGCTCATGATAACATGAGAGTTATCCGAACGATGATAGGATAATGCGAAGCTTCACGATCAGGCGATATCTCTGGGAAGTGTCGGCATTACTGTCCGTGGCAGATAGCGATATTCAAAGTACAAGTCCAAACCGGATCTACACTTTGTTACGAATGACTCGTGAGAACGGAAAGGATGCAATTCTAACGAGTCCAGCGAACGCTGAAGTTCTTTCACACACAGCGACGACAGCGGCCATGATTGACTTTTCTCCAATCCACTTCACAAGAACCCTACGTTTCTTTCGCGAGATTTACACTTCTTTCATTTCGGCTGCAACATTTGCTTCAAAACGCGAGGAGGATAACGTAGAAAGAATCACGCCGAACGTAAGGTAGCTGATGGAGATGTTGAACTTCAGAAACCTGACTCAGTAACTGTGGAAGACGCCAGTGGAACCAGCAAGATCCAGGTTGTCCAAGCAGTCTGGGGAAGGCATGAAAAACTGACAATCGTACAGACTGAACGGTGAGTTCCGAAAGAGATCATTGAAGTCTAGCACTGCAGTTACTTGTTTTGCATACGTCGGCTTCGGCTCAACGCTGCCGGGCTTAGTTGTCGCAATTTCCTACCCGACCGCATGTAGTCCTCATGTCAGTAGACCATTTCCTCTTGCTTATGGCATGATTCATGTTATCGTCATCTTTCTTAGTCTAGCCTCTGTTCCAAGAAGAGGCTAAAAGCACCCGCCCGAGTATGTAAAATCATTGTAGTATCTTACAAGATACACAGAACATCATCGAGATCTGGGGGTAGTCGAAGACCAACACGAACACACAGTATTTTGGAGCACACTTGAGAAGGCGACGGCATCCTTAGTTGATGTGAGAGAAGTGTGATTATAATTGATATCATTCAGATCCCCAGTTGTGATTCGCATTAGCATCTAAGTAGTTCAATGAATCCTTTGGATAGGTACTACTTTGTGATTACTGGCGTTAGTTACGTCGTATCTGCAGGTATCCTGTCTTGTACTGCTATCCTTAACTCAGAAGCAATTATAGGCTCATACCTATCTTTCATTTCAGGTGAAATACTTTTCCTTGACTCAGGTGATACATGTTCAAAATTGACTGCACGCAAGTCCGGAGTCCAACTCCGTCATGTTTATGAGCCCCGCTGTGACGTGACCAGCCAAATCCCGGGTCGAGGGATCCAGCTGGCAGCGTTAGCGCAATCCGAAGCTATCAACAGCGGTCCGGCCCACTGTACGATAGCTTAAATACCCCTCCGCGGGGTTCCTCGCCGCATCTGAGTCGATTGAAGAGCAAGCAGCATCCGCGATGTCGGTCATGAGTGAGAGCAAACACGGGGTTGAGTACCTCACGGTTGATTCCACGTTCGGGGCCGTCAAAGGGTTCATCAATAAAGATTATCCGAATGTTGCCCAATTGCTCGGCATCCCCTTTGCAGAGCCACCAACAGGATCCCGACGCTGGCTTCCTCCCATACCGAAAGAGCCTCCGACAGTGATTGATGCTACGAAGTTCGGGCCCTCCTGTCCGCAACAAAACAAAGGCGGCGGACCTTCAGTGTACAACACAGATGTTCCTGAACTTCAGATCAGAGATGAGACTTCCGAAGATTGCTTGTCGCTATGTATATGGGCACCAAAAGAGGCAGTTGAAAGCACATCAACAGCCAGACTGCCCGTCATAGTCTTCATCACTGGCGGCGCGTTTCTCGTCGGCGGCACAACTGTGCCATATCAAAATCCCACGCCATGGGTTGAAAGCAGTCAGAGACATGTTGTAGTGTCCATCAAGTAAGGTACATCCATCAAAAGGCTCAGAATCTTACTGATTCCGAAATGTAGCTACCGCCTCACAATCTTTGGCTTTCCAAATGCCGCGGGTCTCAACCCTCATGAGCGAAATCTAGGCCTCCTTGATCAGCGTCTCGGTCTGGAATGGGTGCATAAGCACATTGCATGTTTTGGCGGCGACCCGTCGCGAATGACGCACTTTGGTCAGTCCGCCGGTGCTCGCAGTATAGATGCTCACTCTTTCACGTACCCCGACAAGCCTCTGGTGAGGAATATTATCATGAACTCTGGCTGCGCACTGCCTCCGCTTCCAGTGAGTGATCCTGGATGCACACACTTTAGCTTCCTAGCAAAGTCTATGGGTTTTGAAGATGGTGATGCTGTCGCCGAGCTGGAGTTCATGAGGCAGCAGCCAGCTGGCAAGCTGGTGGATGCGATCCGTGAGCACTGGGCTACGAGTGAAATGCCTTTCCTAAGTTTCCGGCCTATCGTCGACGGTTTTACCCTGTTTGACGACTACGAAGAGCGTGTTCAATCCGGAACGTTTAGCAAGCTTGTAAGACGACCTGATATTAAGTCTTTAACAGAAATGAAGATATCACAAGCTGACCATCACCAGCCCGCGATCTGCGGGACGATGAATGACGAAGGCACAGCAGTAGCGTTTTATAAACCCGAAGGCCCCGATCCAACGGTGGCAGAACGAATTACAAAAGGTTACTTCCTTGGACCTATGGTCAAGATGGCAAGGTAATGAGCGATCTAAACCACGAGTGAGGTGTATAAAGCTGACCTTGAAAAAGAGCGCGTTCTGCCCATGCTCCTACCTTTCGTTTCTTATTCAAAGACTTTGCGCCACCTGGCTCCAGTTCGTTTCCCAACATCTCACCGCGTCCTTGGCTTCGGGCATATCACAGTTCAGACATGCCCTTGGTCTTTGGCACACATTCATGGGCGAGGGGTCCTTCGACAGCACTTGAGGAAAAGGTCTCTAAAGCCTGGCAAGACCTTTATGTTGCATTCGCAAAAGATGGCCCGGATGGGCTAAGAAAGCTGGGTTGGAACGACATGAGTGATGGTGAAGGAATAATTATAGGTTGCGGCGAGACGGGGTGGGAAGTAACACCTCTTGAAGAGATCGACCGATAGTGACAACATCCTAGGATGGTATGAACACCCTACTTCACACAGACTTAATGTTTTGAAGTCCAAATACAGGCTTTGGGTTCTTCTATGCCACACGTGCGTCGCCTTCCGGTCGTGCGATGCATCTTCTACAAGCTCACTTCTCAAGATATACATTATCGCAAACGTCTCTGAAGACCTCCATTGTACTTTGATATCCAGCGATCACCTCGTCAACACGCTTCGACACATCTCTCCCAAGAGGCAGCATCCTCTCTCCTTCTTTTCCTTTCCCAGTACCAGTGCCAGTGATTACTTCGTAGATCACTCGAGACGCTTTCAGATGATCACCGTCTGCGGGGAACCCATCTGTAGCGGATGCCGCCATAACTTGATACACCTTCTCCAATGCACTTCCCTCATAGTCCGTCGGAGTTGGTGTGCTCGCCAACTTCACCGATGGGCCCATGTTGGTGTCGAATGATCCAAGGGCCACTGACAGTACGCGGACGCCAAAAGGGGCCATCTCTTTGGCGAGTACTTTGCTGACACCTGCGATTATGACGGTCAGCTCTGAGACGCCGAGAGAATCATGCCTACGAACCGTCCATAGCAGCCTTCGCAGCAGCGTAAACTGCCATCGACTCTCGCCCCTCCAGTCCTGCGCCTGAGCTGATGTTGACGATAGCGCCGCTTCTCCTCTCTCTCATGTGCGGCGCCACGGCTCTCATCAGACGATAGGTCCCAAAGAAAACAGTATCCATCTGCGCTCGGGTCTCCTCTTCCGTGAAACCTTCAGCTGGGCCATGGATAGACCACCCGGCGCTGTTTACGAGAACGTCGATAGCAGTGCCGTTCTTCTCAAGATCGTTCACGACATCTCCTGATTTGAGATCATCGACATCCACCCGTAGCCATCGCCCGCCAGCTTTCTTAACTTCTTCGACCAATTCGGGGGTCTTCTGGGGGTTGCGTGACGTTGCAATCACATGGTGTCCGTTATTCAAGGCAATTCGTGTCAGAGCCAGGCCGAAACCTGAAGAGCAGCCAGTGATGAGCCACGTGAGGGGTCTATTCGGGACAAGAAGCTGGTTTGACATGTTGAGTAGTTGATGATTTCCTGTGTTGTTGAAAACGACATCACAACGAAGGCCTTAACCCAGAAAGGTTTTCAAATATTGTAAGCCAACAGCTCTCGGGTTCCATCAATTTTAAATCCGTAGGCCCGACCACCGCTAATAGTCTCCGGCGACTTCTTTGACGGCCCCGCATCGGCCGCATAAGGCGGTCTTGTCGTCTCCGGACTTAAGGTGAGCCGGCCCCGGCTAAGCTCCGTCCACGTGAGGTTGAGTCTTACAAAGATCCAAACGCCATCATTCATAGGGCTCACTCTCGGGTAGGTGGTGCGAGAAGGCCGCTGGATTTTAGTATGCGGCCGGTGGGCATCCCAATCATGTAAACTTTCCACAAATTGATGCGCAAGGATGCAAGCCCAATCGCACGATGCGAACATGCGCCTAGCCAGCGATAGAAGTATAGTTGCGGGAGATCAGTATAGGATGAAGGAGTGGACTCTAATCTTTTTCTATCAAACCTCCGTCTTCCACACAGGCGCATTCTGGGCAAGCCTCAATGGAGAGCACTTGTTTCCTGACCTCGGTTGTGGAACTGTGATTGAGTACATGTACAGCTTATTTCAGATCCTGAGCAAGGTCGGTTAGCTCAGTTGGTTAGAGCGTGGTACTAATATGTCATCTGACATGTTCAGTAATGCCAAGGCCGGGAGTTCAAGCCTCCCACTGATCACTCTTTTTTGCATTTCTCGGGATCTACGACGTTCTGTTCTCATTGGATTTTCCACCTTCTTAGCTTTTGAAATATGTAACATTTTTGATGTGAGGTTTTCGGAGCGTGATTCGCTAGGCAATAAGAAGGAAATGGAAGCCCCACCTTAATGTGAGCACTATTTACTTTGACTAAAGCTCCGATGTGATATTGCTAATTGTTTGACAGAATCCTCAAAATACTGGTGACGAGGAACTCTCATGGCCGGGCTCGCAGTAAGTAAGTAGTCTTAGTAACATTGCTCGACCCGCGGTTGTAGTTGGCGCCATATTGGGGGAAATGTCAAGAAGTCTGCCGGTCGGAAGGTAATGGCGCCAGACAACAAGCCGAAGTTCACTTCCCGAGAAAGCGGGGCTTACCGAAGCCGAACTTGCAAAAGTTCGGTCAGTCGCCCCTAATCACCCCCCTCCAACGTCCACAACATCGGTCAGACGAACCTTTCTGCTCCTCATTCATCTGTCTTGGAATCAGTTGTCTGGGCGTCATTGTGCACTTTCCGAGGATTCGTTTAGATATGGCCGATCGGGGTACACCGCTCCGCTACCGGAAGAATGGCCGCCTCCAGGCGTGCGACCCCTGTCGCCGGCGTAAGGTCGTCTGTGACCATGTCCGTCCGATCTGTGGCAGTTGTCGGAGACGGAGGAAAGCCGGAACATGCGAGTACACGGCCGGCTCACCGGCGCGGATGCAATCTCCCAATACGCCGGCGGTACGAGATGATGGTCAGCTAGGGCCTCCTACTTCGGACGGGGTACCGGAACAGCATCTTACTGGGTCGACTGCTGTTGAGCAAGCCACACAAGCAGACCAATGTGCAGCTGGAAACGGCAATATACACTCGAGTCCCCAAACAGTCAATCCCGAAGTGACAACTTCTGGCCATCTTGGATTCAACTCATTCGGCGATATCTACAGAGAAGTGGGAGACAGCTTGTCTGACCACGATCACAGAGCGGCTGGAACATCCAGAACCGATGGTGCCACTGTTGGAAGTACTCTGGCAACAACTTCAAATGTTATCACTGAACTGCCGCCGTCAACAACAACATTAGAGACGTGTCTCTTCGTTTTGCAGAGCATACCTACCGAAGAAAAAGGTCAGGCGCTCTTCGCAGCTCACTTCGATCCCCATGACGCTTTTGTTCGCCCAGTTGCCCAACGCGCCCTCGACTCTTTGTATGCCACGTACGGAAGCTACCTCGGCACGGTTCGAGACGACGCCCAGCTCTCGGAGTTGACCCGTATCCTGTGCGCAAACACCGCGAAGCCGTTCTCGGAGAATGAAGCCGATCCCGAGAAGTGGGTGGCTCAGTTCATTGGAACAAACATAAGATGGGAGACGCTCGGGATACTTTACATTTATTGGGAGCTAAGCTCTAGGAATGACCACCTCGTTCGCCCAGAGACCAAGCCGCCTCCGCCCGGGGGTCGAGTTGCTGCGTTTCGACAACGAGATGTGTATAGAAAATGCATCAATGACTGCCAAGCACTGGCGAGACGAGCTACAGAGGTCGGCAATACTCTGTTGCTGTATGTATACTGGAAGCGTACGATTGTTGCGTCTATTGTGTCCGGGGACACTAGTAAGTGGTTTAATTTTTTCACTCCATGTTCTTTCACACTCACACCGGACCTCTACTGTAGGTCTGTCATGCTGGATGTACAACGGCGAAGCAGTCTCTCTAATGACCTTTCTCGGACTGCACGTCGACTCGAACAAAGGCGTTTACAAGCCAACGTTGGCAAGCGAAATCAAGAGAAGGCTCGTATACAAGATTTTCGTGATCGACAAGGTTGTCTCTTCGATAACGGGACGGCCTCCTCTGCTTAGCCGACGTTACATGCTAACACCTCCGCCGCTGGACCTCAAGGACGATTACCTGGTGGCAGACGAAGAGACACTAGCGCGTGCGGTTGCTGCCCTGGATGGCAATGGTTACAATACGGACGGAGCGGCTTACTCCATTACGTTCTGGCGGGCCCGTGCCCAACTCATGATCATTCGAGACGAGATCTTCGAGAGATCTCTCGGCGTTGAGGGGGCTACCTCTGCGGAAAGCCTTTAGTAAGTCTGCAGTGTTCCTTGGACGGTAGCCCGAACTCACATGCACAGCGCTCTGAAGAGTAGAGAACTACAGGCTGCAGCAGACATGCCGTCGGTGCTACATTTCAGGGAGGCAGATGTGCGAGATCCCGACGTCAGTACCGATATGCTCTACCCCAGAATCCTCATGCGCCTGGAGCACCTCCAAAACCTGTTCTTCATAGAAAGACTCCTGCGCCGCCATGGTTGTGCCAACGAGAAGGATCTTCTCGCCGTGAGCTATGACCTGACCACCACCACCATGCTTTTCTGGACGAACATGGATGGTCTCGCCATGGTATACGAGGATTTCAAGTGGTTGGTGAGTAGATGGCTTCTTCCTCGCACCGTGTGCAGGGAAACCACTAACGCGGCTTCTAAGGTCATGGCATATGCAGCCCCTGGCGGAGGAATCCTCTGCCTCGAGCTCCTGAAACCGACTGTTACCCTCAACGAGCCTGATGGTATCACTAGTGCCAATGGCGAGAGTGTCACCCGGTCCAGCATCGTCCAGCTGCTCAGTCTGCTTGTTGGGTTCCTCAACTGGGTCAGTCCAAAGGAGGCGAACGGCAACATCTGCGCCAACTGCAAGGTTATTGTGCAAAGGGTACTGGATCAGGTGCTCAATGTAGCACCTAGCCGGGATGGTCCGTTGGCAGATTTCTTGGAATGGGATTTCTCGACACATTTGGATTTCAACTTTGATTTGCTGGACACGTTTGAGTGGACACGACCGGAGTTTTCATGGACGGACTTGCCTGCTTAGGGACTTGGTTCTGCACTAGGAATACTGATATGACGTACGATAACGCTCAAACTAGTCATGAATGACTAAGTGACTAAGGAAAAACGACTCATTGAACGTCCTTGCTTCGAGTTGACGGGCACGTGGGAGGCTGATATCAAGATCAACATCAATCGCACGGAGTCAGGCAATGCGTTTGTTAGGGAGCTTCCTACGCCATAGAGGGAGCTTACATAGTCTATTCTACACATGCGACTGCAACCCATCATATGGGGTTGAACATATGGGATAGGAGTGGTGCCGCAGTCCTGTTGATTGGTGGATATGTGGCTGAAGGAGATGTACTTTTTACTATGAATCGACATTATTGAATACCATATCAATATCTCACCGCCATGAGGCACTTACGAGGAGCCAGGCATGGTCGTGTTTCTTACTAAGGTCACTCACACTGAGTATCATCATACCCTTGCGGATAAGAATGTCCGTACTTAGGCTAAGACGATCATGGAGTATTGAAGGTCAAAGCGGTTTTAATGATGTAACCTAGGAAATATCAATCGGCTATATTCCGCACCTAGATCTCGGCGTCCGTCCGTTGAGGTCTGGTCGTATGGCGTCGGTAGATGGACTGCCCGAAGTTGGCGCCGCTAGTTAGGTTGGAAACTAGCAACGGGTGAACGTGCTCCTTCACCGCGTTTGTGACGGGCAATTGATGCAGTTTTAGAGAAGAAGTCTATTGATGAAACAAGCGGTATTATGAGTCAATCGAAGCGTGGTTGTTCATTATATCATGACCTCTGTCCATCTGACAGAAGCATTGCTGTCAAGCGCGCAACGCATCACCAAATACCGAGGACTCAACATGCCGCAACTACTTTAAGAAAATACGGTGTGAAAAACTGTGTCAGAGTGCCTGTAAGCCCCTGTCTAGCTGGCGAAGAACTGCCCGGCTATTGAACATGCACGGTGCCATCCCTGCATATTTCCAAAAGGACGCCAACCCAATCTCTGCCATGATCTTCACCTGTCCCCATCTTCTTCGGAAAAAGATCGAAAATAACATCTCCCTTTGATCGCCAACACCTCCCCACGTGTGTCCCCTACCGAGGCTTCCGCCGCTCGAAATACCTGACTCGACGAAGCGCCACAATGGAGTGAGGAAGACCATCACGGCATTTCCGCCGGTCGACCCCCGAGCGTTCGGCAGACCGAACAACGGCGACTGCGGCGGCCAGCGGCGAGCAGTTTCGGAGACTCTTCGGTCGGAGACGGCACGAATCGTCTGAAAGAGTGAACCTTCAGCACAGCATACCTGGACCTTGCCGTCGATCAGCCATGGACCGCCGAGACATCTGTCTCTCTAACCCACCACACCCATCAATAGCTCCGAACGGGGGGGTTCCATAGGGTTGACGACGTCCTACGTCGGCAACTGTTGAGTACCACCCTCCGACACACGTCAATGCAGATCCGGGCAGAGCTGCCATGCCCTTCCGCCCGCCAGGACCTTCTCAATCGCTTCTCGTCGCCCTAGGCCAGCGGCTGCCGGATCGTCGTCTTCTGAGGAATGCCCCCTGGTTGAGCTGGTCGCATCGGCTCCCTCTCGCGATGGCGCATTCTGTGTGGCTTGTCTACCCGACCGGCTGCCATCGCCTTGCGACGAGATGTTGCATCATGCCAATAGGCACGGTGACAGTCGCTTGACGGTCGTATCCAGGGATTGAAGCGAATAAGGACATTGACTCGATTATTCTCCCTTCAGAAGATCAGCGGCGGTTAGACACTCGCTGAACGGCCCGCGCTGTCCCTGAATGACTCTAACCGGCTGAATGGGAATCGCAGGCCAACGTCGGGGTGTCCTCCAGGGTGGGCGGGCGATGTCACCAGAGAGAGGCTGGATAGCAACAGCAACAACACCTATTCGCACACCGCGCTGATGCGACCCTCAGAGGAAGATCCACCAAGTTTGTTTCGACGAGTGCATCCTCCTTCTCTGTACGAACATGCGCCACAACCGAATTGTTGGTCTAGATCTTGCGCTCGAAGTCGGCCAAGGAGCCACCATTACCCGTCTCAGTCTTATTTCCGATGCAGCTTTCTTGCATGGGATGTTGCTGACGCTTTTGTTACCGATCACACGACAATAAAGGGGTCCGAGCGGGCCTACGCCCAATACAGCAGTTGGCAGCTGGAGGCTGGATCTGAAGCATCACGATCATCAAGTCGCCTGTTAACCTGAAGAGACACCATCACCGTTCGTATCAACTACGCACGCCGATCTAGCATGGCAGCAAGGGACTAGTCGCTCTTTGGATCGATTAGAAAGTCAATTACCGTGGGGTACCGTGGTTCCCTCACACGCTATTGTGGTATCCGTCAAAAGAATTACAAGTGTCATACGTGTCGTCAATTGCAAAGGAGGCCGACGCCCATAAACCCGCTAACAAAGGAAAACCCATGCCATCAGAACGGCGACCCGCTCCTCCCCGTCTTCGAACTCGACGCCTCTAGCTCCCGCATGTGCACTAGGCTAGTTTCGTCGTGGTAGTCGACGGTGTACTCCTTGGTGTACATGATGCCGTTGGGGCTGGAGAGCCCGGACTCGCGGTCGACTGTCTTGATCTTGGCCTCGTTGCCAAAGGTGCGGGCTCTGCTGCGTCCGGTGGTGCCGCCGTGGTTGCCGCTCGACTGGATGTAGTACTTTGCGGCGGCCGAGGTGCCGCGCCGCGTGGTGCCGAGCAGCTTGGGGAAGAAGCCGACGAGGATGATGCGGACCGAGGGCATGCAGGCGCAGATGATGCCTGTGTTGATCTCGACGGTGGACCAGGTCGCGACCTCGAACTGGTCCCATGTCGGGTTCTGAGACTTGGCGAAGGCGACGAGGGACTGCAGGCGTAGGATGCTGACGACGGTGACGCTGTGACGTGTATCAGCACACGTGCCCACGTAGCTGAGACGTTTTGAGAGAGGGATGGACTTACAAGGTACCGACGAAGAACATCATGGCAACTCCGATCTTCTTCTTCCAGTGCAGGTTGAGACTCTTGATCTGGGAGAGGGGGAGCGCGAGCATCCAGAAATCCAGCACGATCGAGATGCCGGCGTTGGCCCACGCAATGGCGTTGATATCCAAGCACGTCCCCGGGGTTTCTCCATCCCATTTGGTCCAGTAGAAGCTGATCGGCGTGCATTGGAAGACGGCGACGAAGATGAAGGTGAGGCCGAAGACGGCGTTGAACGCGACGGTTCCCCAGATGAGCTTCTTGCACATCTTATTGTGGGAGAAGATGCGCATGTAGAAGAAGAGGAGCGACATCTTCAGCAGCGTCACTTGGGCGAAGTACATGGGCTCCATGACGAAGAACCAGTACCCGAAATCAGTGATCCTATCGAATGGAACCGTCCAGATGTCCCTGCCGAGTCCATTTCCTACGAAGCCCACCGAGTTGATGACGGTGCCAGGGATTCCTGAGCCGAGCGTGATGAGGATGAAGTAGTCGTCGACGCCGAGGTCTCCCATTGTCGCGAAGATCTTGTGGACCAGGCGGATGATGACGAAGACGCCGGAGAGGGAGCCCATCGTGATGGAGATGATGTTGTACTGCGTGGAGCGGTCTCGAGCCGGCACGCCGCATGTTGTCTGGGTGAGGTTCTTGGTTGCTGCGAGGGCAAGGTTAGCCGATGGTGTTCGAGCTTGCTGGTGTTTTTTGGCTTCAAGTTGCCGGAAGTTTACTGACTGAGTGCGTTGCGGAGCGTGCAGTTGGCCAATACACAAACTTCAACTTCGGCCTGCAAAGGAGCGTTGGTGCAGATACACGTCTGGTTGGTGGCCTGGCATGGCGAGTTTAGGACCGCCGTGACTAGGCATGATTGCTATTCTTCCATTCAGTCTCACGATTCTTTCCCAGTCAGGTCGTATGCAAGATTCAAGGTTTACATACCGCACAGGTCGGCAATGCAGCCACGGCCGCAAGGGCATCGCTTTGGGCCGCGACGCAGCACAGCAGCGCGGCCAGTGACAGGAACAGCGAGAAGAACCTCATGGCGGGGTATCGTCGGGTTGGTGAATGGACGAGGAGAAAGCCTCCCTCTTTCCAGAAGGGTTCGGGGACGGGAGGGGACGGGAGGAACGGTCGTCTTGAGGCGCTAGATATCTATCCCGTCGACCATGGCGTAGCGTCTGAATCGGTTCGTCTCTGTCGTGATGGAGGCGTCAAAGTGTTTTTTCCTCCCTACACCAGACTAAAGAAGGGGGGGACGGAAGGGATTAAGGTTGTCGTGAAACGCTCTTCGGGCTCAGTCTTAGTCAACAAGAAAGACCACTTGGGACGAGTCGTCTAGCGACATGCCAACACGGAGATGATGCTGGATGCAGAACCGGGATGCAGGAAGGACGTCTGCAGGTTCGGTCCACTTGGGTCGACGCCACAGAAGACCAGTGTGTTGGTAGCGTGGCCGGTCTAGTCGATACACGGTGGTCGCCGTTACACATCACCGTCGTATGACGGCCGTGGTCTGGCAACGGCGCCGGGCCCCCTTTCCCCCTCTAGAAGCTATTAGTGTTGAGACATGCACACACTGTAGGCAGAATCTGGTACGCCAGACAATGGTGGCGGTGGTTGACGGTTGCGGTTCTCGTAACCGAGGGACGTTCGACCAGCATGGCTAGACAAGAAGCAGGACCCTGGCTCCTAGCCTCGGGCGTGGCAACAAGGCACCCAGGACGGCAACCACATGTGGCAGGCGAAGGCTGCTCCATGGAGAGTGAGACTGTGATACACTGACATGCAGGAGGCTCCCCGTCAACGTGGGATAGCAGCGGACCGAGGCCGCGACTGGTCTATCGTCCGTCCATGGTCGGGTAAGGGACCAAGGGCCTCAAGGGCGCCCCTCGAGATTGATTGAACATGGAGGAAAGAGCCCACCATCTGTGCCACCCACCCACATATAACACACATACAGGTACGGATATCTTCAGGAAGGAAAAGAAGAAACTCCAGGAGGACATGGCGGCCCAGGCACGCCGGAAGACCACAGCCAGGGCAGAGCCAGGGCCAGGTAGGGGCCGGGTGGGTGATCGTGCGCACGCAGGGATCAACGGCTTGCCAGGGGGGAGAGAATATCTCCTTGAATTCATCGATGGAGGAGAGAGGGGCGGCCAGCTTGCTGCAGCTCTCGTGGTTTGTTGTGCAGCGCATCTCTCATGCAGGGGCCAGCATCCCGTCGGCACTACGATGCCATAGTCTGAACTCGTTTTTTCTTGTCTGGCTGAGAAGCGGGCCCGTCTTGTCAACCATTCTACGCGGGGCAGCAGAGAAAGTCCGAAAGGACCGATGTTGTGTTGTTGTCTCGGTTTGAGGAAATACTAGTTCATAAGAAACCCAAGAAAAGACAACGTATGGCGCAGCAGCAGCAGCGCAGGGAGAAAAGCTTCTTTCTGGACGCGGAAACTGTCCGAAAGAGGTGCGGCCCAGATCCGGCACTGCAGAGCTGAGGCAAAGCTGAAGAAACGCGGCACCAACGGTTCCTGCAATCCCTCGGCAAAGATGACGGGCTGCAAGCCTCCCGACTTCAGAGCAAGAGAAGAAAGAACTAAAGACAGAGACAAAAACGTGGACGCATACTGCGCCGCGCAACGCCAAGGGCTAATGAAAGGGACGGACGTGCAGCAGTTGTATGGGAATAAGAAACGTCCGAAGAACAGCCAGAGTTTTGTGTGACGGCTTTAGAAACGGCATCGAAGGGCTCTGGAAAACCGCCCCCGACGCAACGCAGCCAGCAATTGGAAGCCTGAAGGGCGCCACTGCTCGCCGCGCGCCCCCGGTCTTTGGTGCGTCTTTCAATCTGCTACCCCCTTGGGACGTTAGCCCGAGCGAGGATGGCGTCGCAGTTGGCCGGTGCTATCCCTATCCTGGTGGCACATCCGGCACGCTGTGAGTGTGTGGAGAACAAGATGGAGAATCAAAGCCAGCGGCGGGTTGGCAAGGTTGTGAGCAAAAAGAGAGGAGAGGAGTAGAGGGTCTGACCGGTTCGTGACGCTATTGGTCGCTCGCGCCCTTTTTTTCTCTCGTTGTTGTTCTGGTTTCTGTCTGGTCTCTGCTGTAGGATCAGACTTGCGACTGAAAATGCGATCAGATTCGGGAACTTGTTGGGACGGGGGATAAATGAGGTGCTACGCGACGCAAGATTTCGGCCCTATCGCCGAATTTATGACTCGTGATGGGGCAAAACTGGGGAAATCGGTGATCGAGTTGCCTCTTTTGAGGACGACTCTTTGTGTGGCGTGCATTGCGTTGCCTTGCGTCGAGTTGCGTATGCGTGCGTGCGGGCGAACGACCTCAACTCAGGACAGCAGGCCCTCCTCTCTCGGTGAAGGGGCCATGCTTCGGACATGAATATTCATCACATATTGGCAACCGGCCGAATCCTTCGGCAGTCTGCCCTGTCTTCGGCCCAAAGACCGAACTCTATCGGATTATTCGCATTGGGAATCCAGGGGTTCTCAGTCTCAGAGCGGATCTCGACCTTGCTCGCGGTCTTGGATTATGGGTATTCCCATCTTTATTGGATTTTCGAATGCTACGCAGCGGATGGGTAATGGCCTGAGGGCAAAGTCCCCGACTCCAGTCTCCTCGCTCTCTGGGGGTGGTGTTCTTCCTTGAAGTAGGGGTTCGCCCCTCCTACGGTGTCACAATAATTGATCAGAGAAGGAAATCGTGTTTCCGGATCTTCTGGCGTCTGGGGTGGTTCATCGTATCTAGTATAGACCAAGGAGGATCGTAGTCCTGCTTCCTGAGGGTTTTGCGCGTGGGGAACAGGTGGAGGTGCGTAAGATTCCTGTGCCAAGTTTTGCTTTTTCCCGTCAGCTATCAGCTTTTTCTTCATCGGCTTTCTAAACAGTTGCGCGTCCGCGAGATCCAATCTTCAATTGCCTTTTTTCTCTTCCTCCCTCGGAATGACGACGAAGGCGCGGCCGTTGTGAAGAGACTAGCCAGAGCTAACAAGATTTAGAGAGACGGTTGCGAGATGAGAGGCGTGAGCTAGCTACAATGCCGCGTATTTTCCCTCTTTTCTAGTGCTCTTCTAGCGGAAGTGCCGCCATCACCGTCGCACGCCCGCCGATGAATTCGCGGGACTTCCAAGAGCCCGTAGTTCCTCCGCCGGCGCGCCGGTGTTGTGGAGTTGGCTTCTCTTTTTCAGCTTCCATTCTCCTCCTTCCTTCTTCTCGTATGATACGGCGGCCTGCGCTGTGGATTATGCTCCTCCCTTTTCTCCTGCGCTTATTCCCATTGTACCCAATCCCTGCTTCCACATCTCACCGGGACCGGGGTTCCGGCCGGGCAACGTCTGTGAGTTCCAAGGGGGCGCAAAGGGGGGCGCGCGACGACGGAGCCAGGGCACTGAAGCCCCGGCCCTAGGGCCAGCCACGCGGCGGCAGACCTGGGTTCCGTGCCGGCTTGGGGAGGTGATATTGGGGGCCGACATCGTGGAAGGTGCTGTAGCGATATGACCAAAGCCATTAGTTCCGGCGATTTGGGCTGAACTGGAGACCTGGCTTTCTGGAATAGGACTCTGTTTCGCAATCTTCTTTCGGTTCTGAGCGCTTTGGGCGTTTCTTGAATCTTGAGCCGATAAAGATGTCTTGGATTGGGGCAGGACACGGGCTAGACTCCAGATACGCTCTTGTCGAATCAAACCTCACGTGCTGCCGTCTTTCCAGCTTCCATTGCCGTCACAGGCATACCGTTGTCATGTTATGACCTTGACTGGTAGAGGCAGAGCAGTGATTTGTCGAAGCCGTCGGGCGGTCTTGCCCCTCGGACTCTGCTCTGCTCTCAGCTCCCAGTCTCAACTTGGTCTCTGCCTGGATGGTTTGGGGCGGCTTGGCGGAAACCCGAGAAATGATTGAGGTAGGCCGCGGCGACGGTTCATGCGCGACACGGACGACCTTGGTCGCGCCCCGATTTTTGCCCATTCCAGCTTTATGCGAGGGAGCATTGCCCCATAACTTTCCTGCTGCAGCTCCACGGTTCTTTTGTTAATGGGTTGCTTACTACACCTTTGTAAGACTGGAGGCTGTTCATGTCAGAATTTGACAGGAGATCCTTCATGTTTCGTTTTACAATTTTTTTTCCTTGGTATCCTGGCTGTTGACGTTTGAAAGGTTTGATCCTGCAATTGAGTCTCGGTGCTACCGTAGACGGAGGCTCTCGTTCGAACACCGGGTAATCCGGGTAGCCGGGTTCCCATCAGGGACCAGGCAGGCAGGCAGCATTGAAATGGCTCGATGCTGCTCGGCGGGACATAAAATCAATGCCGATGTGCGACTGTGGCGCAGAAGGGGTCCTGTTGGCTTTTGTTCGAGGGATTCTTGGCTGCAGAGTCTATAAATTACTCGGCCGAATGCCGTCCTACGTTAGTGATCCAATCACCGAGCCGATCAAGGTTGTCCGTACTTGAATCTCGCCTCTTCCAAGGACAACCTCGACTCAGCCTCCCTCAACACCCGAGGATCAACCCGTCTTGAGTCGAAATTTTTACAGTTTGACATGTCGCGGGACTTTTTGTTTCCTTTGAACCACCGAACTCGAATGAACCGGTGGAAGGTTCAGGCCAACGGAGCTGGCTTCCTCTTGCACGCTGCTGTGACGTTGGTGTGGGCATTAGAGTTTGGGGGTCGAAGGACGGTTCCCCGAGATGGGTATGCCTGCAGCGAAATGACTCGGCCACTCCGCGTTTTCTCTCTTGGGTGAGGAAACACACGACCTTTTGTTCTTTTCGGGCAGAAATTTTCTCAACGGGTGGGCTCGAATGCTACCCAAGAGTCCTGAACGGCACAGAACCGCTTCGCTGGAAACTGCGAATGTTGCACTGGACGGCTGTATCTGGCGAGCTTGTGGAGAGAAGGAGACAATGATCGCTCTGAAAACTTCAGTGCGCAAGCACATCCCAGGTTTAAGCTTTCGCATCTTGGCAGGGGCCCAGACATCGTCGGCATCGCACCGACTGAATGGTTCTTGTGAACCTGCCGAATTGAGATAAG